CCCCCATCCTGGAAGATAAGGACCATTGTGTTGTGGAGGGAATTAGCCTCAGCTGGGTGTCTCTGGATGCTACCTTTCCCAGAAGAACACTAAGAAGAGCAGATGAGATGAATACAAAGATTCCACCTTGCCCTGAGATTCTGCTGGTTCTACCTGGCTAGGTTCTAGCAGAAGAGAAGGAAGTGTACAAGGGTAACATGTGCAAGGGCAGTGTACAGGGGTAACATGGACATCAGGGACAGTCCTCCTGAGGATGTGGGGAGCCAGGCCCAACTGTGGGTTGGCAGAGTTGCTGACACACACCTAACTCTGGTCCCTCTGGATACACCCTTGCCCAGGTGCAAGGGGCTCCACTGGGAAGAACATCTCCACCCAAGTGATCACTCTTCCTCTGTGTTCTTGAGCGGGATGAAACCACATTCTCTACCCATTTCCCAGTCTCACCCCCAGGATTATTTATGACCTCAAAAAGATGGAAGTCACAGGTGCAGGGAGGACCAGACATAACCCATATGGTGCCTGCAGGATAGTTAGTTCACAAGGATATTAGGAGAAAGAGCAAAAGAGAAGTGACCACACAATTCTAGATGGTTAAGGCAGTAGTTCTGACCCTGGCCAGACATTAGAATTACCCAGGGGCTATGAAAAATCCAGACACCGAGGATCCGCTTGGACCAATCACATCAGAATCTGGGGAGTGAGGGGGTGTAGACATCAGTATTTTTTACAACTCTGCAGGTCATTTCAATGCATAGCCAAGACTGAGAAACACTGGTCTTTCAATGTACCATCCACTATGGTAGCTGTTAGCCACAGATATCTATGGAACATATAAAATGTGGCTTGTACAACCAAGGGACTGAATTTTAAAATTCCTTTTTATTTTAAATTTAAATATCCACATGTGACTTGTGGCTGCCATATTGGACTATGCAGATACAGAACATGTCCATGAGCACAGGAAGTTCTACTGGCTAGTGTGGTCCAGGGGAACCTGGAGTCCTATAACTGCCAAGTGAAATCCTGCTAAGCCTGAAGGGACTTTAAGGTAATTCTGTCTGTTAACTTCACTAACAAGCCCTCCTGTCTTGGATTTGCTGTATATTTTTCTTCCATGTTTCAAGCCAGGGCTTGTGCAGCAGCAAGGGCGACAAACTTTCAAAGCACTGCGTTGTAGGACTGAAAAGCATTGAAAATACAGTTATGCACTCAATGATGTTTCTGCATATACAATAGCGGTCCCATAAGATTATAACGGAGCTGAAAAATTCCTATCACCTAGTAATGTTGCAACTGCCATAATGTTGTAGCACAATGCATTATCTTTTCTATGTGAAGACATGTTTAGATGCACATATTCTTACCATTGTGTTACAATTGCCTACAGTATTTAGTGCACTGAAATGCTGTACAAGTTTGTAGCCTAGGAGTAATAGGCCATACCATATAGCCTAGGCATGTAGTGCGCTATGCCATCTAGGATTGTGTAAGTATACTCTGTGATATTCGCATTACAACGAAATTGCCTAACGATGCATTTCTCAGACTGTATCCTTCTCATTAGCAATGCATGATTGTATCTGTAAAAATCTAAGGCCCAGACCTAAGTACTTTGGTGTTCATTCCCTTGGTTTACTCAGTTTGTATCTATGAAGACCCAGTTCTAGAAAGGAGCTTTCTAAATTATTGTTTAGTTCGTGTAATCCAAGAATTTACGAGACTTTTGGAAAAGCAGAGTGCTGGAAGTGCCACCTTTCGGAGGTCACGGATTTAGTCAGGTGGCCCAGCAAACTCGACTCATTGGGGTTAGAGATGGAGAATTAGAACCAAAGCTGAATCACTTTCTGCTTATCACTCACAGACTGCCAGATTTTCTTTTTTTGTTGGAGGGAAAGCACCTTACAACAAATAATAATACTATTTTGAATTTCGGAGCTTTCCCTTTTTCAAAGCACTTTACCATCTCTGACTTATTTTGTCCTCCCAACAAGGCCGTAAGATAAGGAGGGGAGGGCTTTTTAGAGCCTGTCTAACACCCTAAGACAGAGCTTAATATTGCTGAAAGCATTGAAAAGTACAAGTTTTGTTTTCGCATCCTTGGCCACACTTAAGTACTTAGTGGCATAACTTGAAACAAATTGACATAGATTTTTAATCCTACAGTGGACTGTGTTTTTAAAAGACACTAGAGCTTCACATTTGTTCCCTTTGGTTGCATCCCAGGTTTCTAACCCTTGTGCCTACATTTTTGGGAGCCATTTCTTCCTCAGAACTTTGTGTGATCTGCGAATTTGGTAAATATGCCTTCATTTACCATGTCTCCTTACAAGGTGTTTTTTTTTTTTTTTGGACGGAGTAGCTCACTGCAACCTCTACCTCCTGGGTTCAAGTGATTCTCCTGCCTCAGCCTCCCGAGTAGCTAGGACTACAGGCACCCACCACCATGCTTGGCTTATTTTATTTTATTTTATTTTATTTTATTTTATTTTTTGTATTACTGGTAGAGACAGGGTTTCACCATGTTAGCCAGGATGGTCTCAATCTCTTGACCTCGTGATCCACCCGCTTCAGCCTCCCAAAGTGCTGGGATTACAGGCGTGAACCACCGTACCCAGCCTCCAAGGTGTTTTTTAAATGGTGAATGGGACAGAACACAGGACAGAGCCCCTGGCTCTCCACGAAGAAGGTCCTGTGTCACTCCAAAGGATGTCCCCTGTGCAGAACCACCAACGCCAGGCTGACATCCTCGCTTTTGGGTCCTCAACCTTCTCATGGGTAGAGCTGCAGAGTCATTTCAAACCATACTTGACTGTGGGCAGAAAGCACGGAATTGTCTGTCCAACTGGGGACTCAGGAGCAGCCTGGCTGTCTGCAGCAGCTGCAAAGGGAGCAAAGGCAGGCAGGACTTCCATGAGCCAGGAGGTGGCCTTCTTTGGAGACGAGTGTTCTGCCAATTGCAAGTCCTCCTGGTCACACCATCATCTGGCCCATCTTTTGTATCTTAGATCGGATAGGGTGAGAGGTTTTCAAATGCTTTACTGAAATCAAGACACACTTTCTGGGGCATTCCCCTAATCGACTGTTCTGGTGAAGCTCGTCAAAACAGGAAATGAGGTTAGCATGGAATGACTTTCTCTTAGAGAACTTATGTTGCTTCCTTGAGACCACCACTTTCTTCCCAAAAGCTTGTGAGCCTTGTTTCGTGTCTCCTCTGGGTTTTTTTGGAACTTGGAGGAAGTCTGTTCTTCTGTAGTTTTTAGAATCCATTCCCCTGGGAAATGGTGGTGGTATTTTCTTGTTCCCGGTCTTCCAGACTCTCTCCTTTTTCCTCCAGTATCTCTAAGATGTTTGCAAGTTTGTCTGAAGTGAGATCTGCACATACTTGAACCACAGCAAGAATGGGATTGAGCCACACGTTCTGTGCCCATGACCAGGCTGACAGGGCCACATGTGGCCTCCCTGGCATGGGCTTTAGGCAGCTCCTTCCCCTGAGAAGCTGTTGGATCCACATGTTCTCACTTTATCAAAAATGGCAGGAAGAGGAAACTGATCTGGTGGAGATGAAACTTAGTGGGAACACTCCGCTTTCCTCCCCTGCTCCGTGTGTGAGCACTTGGCTCAGAAATGCACTGTGGCTGAGACAGCCCTATCTGGCTTCACCTAAGCCAACCCCCGTGTTGAGTTCTTTAACTCAGTTATCAAAGCAGTGAGGGTTTCAGATCTAGACAAGCTGCATCATGCTTATTTTTGCTGAGGTTTTCTGACAAATGGCTCTACTTGAAATTTTCAGATTTAAATGTCTGTTTTATTAAAACTAAAGTACTTTTGAGTCATATTTGCTTTTATGCAGTAAAAGAGAGTCCATGAGAAGGAATAGCTGGCTTTGCCTCACAAGTGTTTAGGGAGGGCTGCTGTCTCCAATGCGAGACCTGGATTACCTTTTGGAGATTCATCTACTTCTCATGATGCTCTTGTTGCTGGAATCATGGTCTGTTACATGCTTTACATGACTTAGCAGGATCTTGAAAGCTGTCCTGAGTGCTCCTGCTGGAATGGGGTAGATTTCAGTTCCCTCTCCCTTAGTCCCGCGTGAACCTCAGCCTCACTCTACTCAGGTCTAGGGTACTTAGTATGTTCAGTGATGATTGTCTATGTAGATGGATTAAAAAATGTGCACCTTTATAATCATCCCAGCTACCACCTAAGATTCTAGCTTGCTCTGGAGACATTTTTGGTGGTTTACAATGTTATTTTCCAGTGTGCATAGGCAGGCCCCAGAGTCAAGGTGATCATCCCTTTGTTTCAGTTAAGAAAACTGAGTTTTAGTGAGGACAATCAATTTTTCCCATATCACAAAAATGGTCATGCGATGCTGCATCCCATATTTAAGTCCAGAGTGATGAACTTCTCCCTATCCCTCTATTACGCTGCCATTTTATATTTTGTAGATGTGTAAAATCAAATGTCATTCTTCCCTAAAAAGGACTGTGAACGGTAAGCAACAGTTGGGAAGGGTGACACCAGACAATGGCTGAAAACAGGGCGACTAGAAGTTGACTGATGGGTGCTGAGCGCTTGGCACCCCTTCCTGCTGCAGACCCCAGTGGAGTCTCCTCAGCAGGGGACACCGGTGGCCCGCATTGGCCCTGCCTCCTGCCAGGGCTGTGTGAGGATCCACACGGGCTGGGATGAAGGTGGACGTTGTTCTGCAAAAACTGCCCACTACTCAAAAGTGATGTTGTGGCCGGGCACGGTGGCTCACACCTGTAATCCCAGCACTTTGGGAGGCTGAGGTGGGTGGATCAAGAGGTCAGGAGTTCGAGACCAGCTTGGCCAACATGGTGAAACCCTGTCTCTACTGAAGATACAAAAAATTAGCTGGGTGTGGTGGCGCGCACCTGTAATCCCAGCTACTTGGGAGGCTAAGGCAGGAGAATCACTTGAACCCAGGAGGTAGAGATTGCAGTGAACTGAGATTGTGCCATTGCACTCCAGCCTGGGTGACAGGGCGAGACTCCATCTCAAAAAAATTAAAAAATTAAATTAAAAAAATTGATGTTGCTGGGTCAAAAAGGGAGAGGCCCCACCCGGACCCCTTAGCACCGGAATCTGCATTTCAGCAAGATCCCAGGGGGCTGTCCCAGTTGCTAGCTCTGCTCTTTATGCTTGCCTCAGCTAGGTGCTGAGTACCTGTTAGAGGAGTGCATTCGGTCTTTATTCTTCAGAGGCGCTGGTCAGAGGGTGGAGACATCACACAGGGACTCCTGGGCCCCAGGCAGGCCTCCCCGACTCAGCTAATGGGGATGGAGCAGAGGATGGAATGTTTGAGAACCACCAACGTGCAGCAAGGAAATTAGTGAGAAATGAATTCCACCTGCCAGAAGGGAATTTGAGAAGGGAATGCACAAATACCATCGAAAACTATGACTCTTCTACCTCCAGCCCTTGCCACCAATTCCTATCCCATTATTTTCATATCTGAGAGGGTTGATAGGCAGCAGACACACTGACTCTGTAAGCATTGTCCCTGGTCCCTGCAGGCGAGGTGACCATGTACCTGAGTTCGCTCAGGGTGGTCCTGTCCATGCCTATTAGAAATGAGTTCATAATGCCTTTCAGCTCTGCCTTTCACTCTCAGGCATGCCCTCACTTGACAATGCCTATCTGGCTTGGATACCCTCACTTTAGAGTACCTTATATCTGCTATTATATTTCCCCAAGAAGTTGCTTTACGAACACTGACTCCTCAACACACGGTCATCTCTAAAAGGAAGGGTGTTTGGCAGTTCCTCGACAGTTCTGGAAAGGCTGCCTTAGTGGAAGCAGAGTCAGCCATGGGGGGATGAGAACGAAAGTGTGCACTCAAGCATGTGTGTGTTTGGAGTGTGTGGGTATGGGTGTGTGACAAGGTCATATGGGTTCTGTGTACCTTAATGTGTGACACAGGTGTGGGTGCAGAAGAGGACACGGGTTGTCTGGTGCGTGGGTGCCTATATGCACATGGGGTGGTTGTGTGTGTGTGTGAGTGCACATCTATGGTATGTGTGTATAGTTGTGCATACATGTCTGTGCGTTTAGAATGTTTGGTGTGGTATGGTGTGTGGGAATGCATGGGTGAATATAAGTGTGGTGTCTTGGTGGATGTGTGCATGGATGTAGTATGTGATGTGGCTGGATGTGGGTATGACATGTGTGCAGTATGAGCGTCGGTTTCTGTAGCTTGTGTGTGTATGCAGTATGTATGTTTGCGGTGCATGTGCATTGTGTGTGGCTGGGTGTGGGTGTCTATGTTGCATGCGGAATGAGGTGTTTGTGATGTGTATGGGTGTGTGCGGTGGGTATATGCTGGTACCTGTGTGCATATGTGTTGGTGTGTGGAGTGGCTGTAGGTGACACGTGATGCCATGTGTGTCTCCTGAGCTTGTGTGTGGCTGTCCCCAGACCCACTGCAGACTCAAGCGTGGCTCCACGTGGCGCCACCACAGGAGAAGCCTCTGTGCCCTGGGAGCTGGTGTGGAGAAGGGTCTCACTCTTGCCTGTCCCTGGGCATCACCATGGCTGCACTGGGAAGCCACTGGGTGCAATGGTGTTGCTGTGTGGGTTGGGGCCTCAGGTTCACAGGCAGCAAGCATAGACCAGATCCACCCAGCACCCTGACTGTTGAGGACAGGCCCTGGCTGTGGCTCTGCAGCCCAGCTAGCTCCTGCTGCATAGTCAGGCCTCTGGAGAGATGTTCCCGGGGAGGAATCACTGAATGGATTTCCTTCCTCCTGCCCTGTTTGGATAGGGACACTTGTGGATGCTTCTGGCTCCAACTTTTGTGTGCAGTGGCTATGACGGAGAAGAGATGAGCTCCCTCTCCAGCCTTCTGGGCTGCTGGCATCCTCTATATGTTTCTCCTTGGGGACACTCTCAATGAGGCCAATTCCGGGCTGTGGGGGGCTTTTCCCTCTGTCACTGAGGGGCCTCCACAGGGATCTGCCTGGCTGCAAGATGCTGATGGGTGGAGGGGTGGCCCACCTGACCTCCAGGAGCAGGAGCTCCCTGCCCACTGCCTGCATGGCCCACCTGACCTCCAGGAGCAGGAGCTCCCAGCCCTGTCCCTCACTTGTTGCCCCTCTGGAAGAACATTGCTCTTGTTAGCTAACAACCACCTGACTTTCCTTGATCTGTCTCTCCCTGAGGCAAGAACGACCTAGGTCTGAAGACTGAAGATCAGTGCTGGGGCCCCTCTTGGAAGGCTGAGGAAGTGGAGAAGTGCCCAGGTCTGGTCTGCTTAGCCTTCCACTAGTTGTTGGAGCTCTTTGAGCCTTGGTTTCCAAACCCAAAAACTGGGAGAATGACACCAACCCAGCAGCACAGGGGGACCTTTGCAATAAGGTACGAACCCACTCAGCATGATGCTTGGCACAAAGCACAAAGCCAATAAATGCTGGCTATTATCACTATTATTTTAATTCAGAGGTTCAAATATTGAGAATGAAATAAATATACCAGGAAGCAGTAGCATTGTGCCATCAGAAATATACTCTGATGGGGTCCTAGAGATCTTAGTCATGAAAATAAAATATCAGAAGAAAGACAAGATGATCTAGAAAGAAGGGATGCCAGCAGTCTTAGAAAAAACAAAAAACGAAAACAAACAACAAAAAACAAAACTGGTGGTGGACAGTGAGCCAACAGGAGCAAATATAGGACCAGCTAGCCAGACACTGCTTCCTCTCCCTTTGACAGGCAGGACAGGAGCCCACTCCCAAATCTGCAGGATCAGACACGATAGATGAACAGTGATTTGCCTGAGTGTAAATATTGTGATGTCTTTCTTTTCTTGAACTTTTAGCGTTGCTGGTAAACAGGGTGCATCCAGAATTGTTTTTCTGAGAACTGACTTTTGAGGAAATAGGGGAAAAAGGGGTTTTTATTAGCTAATTTTTAGTCTTGTGCATGACTCAAAACCTTCTTATTCTGTTTCTTAACTTTGCTTCAGGAGACCCTTGACCAAAAAATAGCTTTGTTTTTAATTGATGAAAGAAAAATCATTACAATGTGTAAGTATGCCAATTCAAACATGGCAAAACTTTCAAAGACAAAGTGGGGGTGGGGAAGTCATTCTGAAGAAGATCTCTGAGACAAGAAAAAGAACCAATCCAAATCCCCATTTGTGTTTTCTAATGAGAAACTCCTCACACGCCATTTCCCTGCTGACCCCGGTCTTACCTTGACTACCTCGCCCCGTTTTCGTCTGTTATAACTTCTGAGATATTGTAATGGAAGTAAAGAGTAAGCTTGAGATACTCTCTCAGCATTCAAGGTGCTGCCTTCCTTTCTCCAAGCAGGAGGCTGACATAGCCACCTTTATTTACAAATGCCATAAATCGACTGTGCAGGATCCTTTCGTGAGAAAGGAGAATAATGGCAGGGAACCATCCCAGCAAAACGAAGACCTGGGCTCCACTGCCAGCTTTTCCCTCGAAGGTCATATTTCACCTCTGCCCTGTAATTTCCTGAATTGTTCAGTGAAGATGTGACTTCTTGGCTTCCAAGCTTCATGGAGGTGTTGTCCAAACACAAGGTCCATAAAGTGCTTTGGAAGGTTTGGAGGAATAAAGAAACTCTCTTGATCCGAGGTTGTGATGGAGTCTCATCAACATTGTAGCCGATGATGGTGAGTGCTGGAGGGTTCATCAGACCTGAGAGCAACCCCAGCCTTTGAACCACTCTCTCGCCTCACTATTCATTTGTGTCTGTTCAGCTGAATGCTGGCAGATCGTCTTTCAAATAATGCTCCTGTTGGAAAGTAAGCTGAGGACATTGAGAATAAATATCTCCAGTCTTCTAAGCTGTATGGCAGTGTTGATGGGACCTCTAAGAAAGTTTCTCCCTGCCATCTTAGAAGGAGAAAGAAGAGGAGAAGGAAGCAGGAAAGACGGAACAAATTGCTGTACCTTTTTAAAAGATGGGATTGAAATAAATCACAAAGAGTGTTAAAACAGGCAGCTCGTGGGAAGCCAATTGCTGACACTCTCAGGCCCCATCCTTTCCTTCTCCTCTTCCTTTCAGAATAAATTAAAGAATGGGCCCAAATCCAAGTTGTGTGTATGGTATCTTTATCTGATTGACCTTGTACTCCTAATAATATCTTATCTTCGCTTGTAAATCATTAGCACCCTTTTCCGTTCTCCCGGCATGTCACTTCTTTAACTATTATGAACACTCACAGAAGTCCGCTCTGCAGACAGACAAAGCTACTGCAAGGGTCATCTGTCATTCATTTGGCCATTTGGTCCTGAAGGCCTCAGCTGGCTTCACTAGCAAAGTGTTTCACACATTCCCATAGCCCTGCAACAGCCACTTCCCCAAAGCAAACAACCTGAGAGATCTGGTAAACACCGAAGAACGGAAATTTCATTCATTTTCCTACCTGCATCCTCTCTGGTTGACAGAGAATATCAGTCAACGCAAGATTTGTTGAGAGTGGTACATTTGAGGATTTATTTGTAGGCTGTGTTAATATACTTTTGAGAAATTCAGTTGTATCTAATGAATGCTTTTTTTTCCCGTTTGATTCATTCCAAACTATTTAAATTGGAAAACTGTGTGCTATTTCAAGATGCACTTTAAAACTCATGTTGTTGTGATGGTGCTTGTTGTCACTGCTTTTTGTTGGTTGGTTCTTGTTTCTACCCGGCCCCTCCTCTTTGGGTTCATGTGGGTACAGATGAGATTCACAGTTCCCTAGCCAGATGATCCACAGAAGGTTTTCAAAGACTGCATGGGTAGTGTTACTGAACATAGTTCATATGTATGGGTACATGTGTGTGTGTTTCTAACCTTGCAAGCTCCTTGCAAAACTACATAAATACTTGTATGTAAGTTGTGCTGTATATATGAGCGTGCCTTATTATGAGAAAGGTCGATTTTAAAGTATTCCTTCCATGGGTAAATAAGTCTTCCCTGATGATAAATCATTACAGTTACTTTCACCTCCGAAACCCCTTGAGCTCCCCTCTCCCACTCAGCCCCTGCAGAAAAGGGCTCCCTTTATTTACTGCCCTACTTGTTGCAAGTTGGGGGCTATTTCTTTAAGTCTAACTTAATATTTCTTGTATTTAGTTCAAACTGAAAAATTCTCACGTTTACCGCCGGATGGGGCAGGGGGAAGCAGCGTCTACTTTAAATCTGTTGCAGCACACGAACTTAAATGACAAAACAAACACAGAAGACTGGAAAGTGAGGGACCCTCTTAGAGAAAAGCTTACAAAATTATAGTGTCCACGTGAGGCACGACTTTCATATCCTTTATCTAAGTGTCACATGATAGGGCGGCAAGTCGATCCCTCCAGAGCCTGGATGATAGAAATATTTGTGGTTTGATATGCGTCAGTGCTTATGACTTTGGCATAAAATGCAATCTCCTTTGTTTCTTCCCCAAATTCATGAAGTGCATCTTTCCATAATATTGAGAATAGAACCTAACATTTATTGAAAATCTATGAGCATATTTTATCAAAAAAAAAAAAAAAGCACTTCCACATACTCAGTAATGGCCCAGTGAGGCAGATAATAGCTTCATCCCATCTCACGATGGTGAAATGAAGATCAGAGGGAGCCAGTAGCTTACCCAAAATGACCCCCTTAGGACGTGACAGAGCCCATACTCAAAGTCGGTTTGTTTAACCAAACTGCCTACAATGTCAACTTAGTTTGCGAAACAGCCCTATGTGGTTGGTGGTATTATCTGCAATTCATCATCAACACACCAGGCCCATGGCAAAGCTAAAAGCAGAGCTAACAGCCAGAGTGACCAGAACAGGGTCTCATCCTGCTGCACCTGTGCCAGAGAGAGAAGATGAGCACTCCAAAGTGTTTTCACGCACCTGGGGGCCTTCCTGTCCAAGTGCAGTACAAATATTCTTTGTGCCACATCTTAAAGGAATCCTCTTACAGAAAGGGCTTCCCCTCTGAGTGGTAAGACCCAAGACCGGGCTGATGCCTCTTCCTTTGCTATGTGAGACCTGAAGGCAGAGTCTGCCTGGACCGACAGAGATCGATGTGGCCTCCGTCTGTCTGTGTGTCATGACAGAAAGGAGGTGGGAAAACTTGGAAAACGGGAACCCTCACTTTCCTGAAATTCCCAGCAGTCAGTTCCAAGAATTGTAACCTTGAAGCACAGGAAAGCAAGACCCTCAGCCGGGAACATGGAAACTTTTGTCGGGAATTCTCTGAGGTCCTGACGAGGTGACACAGTGGTCAGATGTTCCAGATTCAACATCAAGGCCGGTGGGGGCGGCACTGCACCGGTCACGTCAGGAAGAGCAGTGTAGTCAGAGAGTGTGGCAACCACCATACGCCTGGTAGACAGCTCATTCCATCTGCCCTGCACATTTTCCTACTTCCGCTGAGCTCAGAATGGGGAAGATCGAACACGGTCTGCTCTTATCACCCTGAAGACTTTTAAAAAGGCTCTGCATACTCACATGAAAATCGGGAACTTGATCACTGTGGCCTGACAATGTGTTTTGAAAAGGCGGGGGTGGGGGGGGCTAGTCTTTCCCTGAAAGTTCCCATCCATTGTTGAGTAAACATCATAAATCTATCGCAGAGAGACAGGCTGCCTGTGCTCAAATTACTGCCTGCTACAATTTTAGCTTCAAGTTTTAATGCCCTAAACATGAATAACGTCGTATCCCAGCGCAGGTCTGATTAATGAGGCAACTTTGCCAACTTCAGGGTCGGAGAGTGTGTCCCCACCCCCTTCCTTTTTTTTCCCCCTGTGGCTTAGTAACCATTTCAGCAAATTTCCCCATTAAATATACAAGGCGACTGAGTGCAATAAAAACTAAAGGATATGGCAGATAAACACCAGCGTCTCTCTGGGCAGCCCTCACTGGCCAACAGAGCAGACCAGCTCAGGTTTGCTGGGAGGAATCCAGAATGTTCCATCATGAATTCCAGCACGAAAGTCATGCACGCATTGCCATTTGCCGTGGGTCATTTTCAATCTGTGGGTTACACTTACAGGACCGTCTGCTTTCCGAGCTGTCATGCGGTTTACACGTGGAACGCCACTCATGCCCTATTTGCACTTAAGGTGACCAATGGCTGGCTGAAGGTCATGCTCAGGAGATGACCCAAATTAGCATGTAATGTCCAACCTTGAAAGGAAAGAAGGAAGTTTTATCTTGCCCAGATGTTGTCTGTTCCCCAAATAAGATTGTGTGTCGCTTGAATAATTCCCAAATAGGAGCCCATTTGTTAAGCACTTAATGCACACTGGGCACTGAACAAGAAATGCAGAGGAGTCCCTAGGACTTGCTGAGTCTCCTAGAGACAGCAGAGATGCTCTGCTCACAGGAGCTCATTTTCCATCCACAACAACCCTGTGCCATCAGTTACATTATCTCCAGGTTTCTCACACGACCAAAGCTGAGGCTTAAAGGGTGGCACAACTTCCCCTGCTCTGGCTCCAAATTCAGTATTCTTAAGCCATAAAGCATCTCTCTTTCCTCCCCATCCTGTTCCTATTCTCAGTCTCTTCATGAACATACACACACACACACCCCCACACACACTTGTCTACACTTGAACCGTAGTCTGGGCCCGTTACATCAACAACACAACCACAGCAGAACCTGGCTTGGTCCAAATTGCAGAGATTTTAAATCTAAATTTCCCATGCTATTGAGACGTTACAGAACCAATCCTTCAGGTGAGTTTTGATTTTCTGTTTAAGCCAGGGTTCAGCAAACATTTTTTCTAAAGGCCGGATAGTAAATATTTTAGGCTTTGCTGGGCTGCATAGTCTCTATCACAACGGCTCAACTCTGCCATTGCAGCATGAAGCAGCCACAGGTAATACATAGAGGAATGGCAGAAGCTGTGTTTTAATACAACTTTATTTTTAAAAACAGGCAGAGGGCCAGATTTGGCCTCCGGGCCATAGTTTGAAACCGCATAGTTTGAGATCTAAGTCACTAAAATTGTTACCAGTAGTCTAGGGTTTTAGACATTGGATCTGTCTAATCTATCTGAAGTAAGATGGGGGGCCAGGACCATTGTAGCGAGGCTGTGGAAGTTTACAGCTGCTTAAGAAGCACTGTGATCAACATTGCTCCTTACCCTAGATGGGCCAGGCCAGCAGTCACAATGTGTGCTCTATGGGGAGAGAGCAATAGGAATTTCGCTAGAAAAGAGTTCTCTGGACTAGTAAGTTTAGAAAACCTTGGGCTATTAGTATCATTATTATTATAATATTCCATGATTACAGGACTTCTCAGGGCTTTCAATATGCTGATGAACATGAATCTTCCTAGATATTCTGGATCTCTAGGAAAGAAAGGTTTGTGTGCAGAGCACGTCTGCACAATATTCTTTAAGAAGACTGATCTGGCTCCCGTCCTAAAGATTCTCATGCTATCTTTTTTTTCTACCTCTTTTCTCAACTGTCCCACTTGAGGGTACTGGCCTGAGTTCCTGCCAACCATACAATATCCAACTCCACCCTCAGAGCCACACTGCGGTCCCACTGGGGACTTTGGTGGCCCTGCCTCCCTGCAACCTCAGGTACTCAATTTGGAGGGTGTGGAGAGGGCAGGGTTGGAGTACAGGTTGCTGTGTCTCTTTCCGTCATTTTTATCACCAGCTGCTGACCATGCTTGCTTAAAGGTCTGGTATTTATGGACTCCTAGAATCTCCCAGAACCTCACAAATACCCCTGGGCTCCTGGTTTGAGGGACTAGATGGGAAGCCCCAATCCCTGGGAGGACACAGTCCCAGAGCTTCCTGGAACTGAGGCAGGAGCAGCTTGGTCAGGGAGTGTGAGGACTCTGACAGAAGCACGGGTGTGGGACATTCATGCCTGGAAGGCCCTCATCACCTGAGACCTTGGTGAGGAGGCGAGACTTGGAGAAAGGGAGTCCCTGCTGTCGTGGAAAAACCAGCCAGGGTAGGTAGTTTTGTATAAGGCTCTTAACTCTATGGAGATTTCTGTTCATTACCTGCAAAATAGAAATGTCTATCCCAGCAGCCTAGGCTTAGACTGTGGAGGGCTAGCCGAGGGCTGTGTGAGAAGGTTTTGCAAACATGGCTGGGCCCAGAAGGCTGGGCTATTGTCTGGAGGAAAACTCTCAGGGCAATTCAGACCTTTCTGGGCCCTTCTGAGGAGAGAGGCGTTG